ATGTTAGGATATATGTCCCTGACCGTCCGTGAGTTCCTGAGTCTATCCGTCCGTCTGTCCGTCCGTCCATCCGTCTGTCCGTCCGTCAGTCTGTCTGTCCAGAGTCATATTTCAGAATCCTGTGGACCGATTCCGTTCATTCTTTGCATGTGCCTAGTACCTTAAGTGGGACATATGCACATGCAGTGGTTTAGCGATTTGATACAAAATGGCCGACTGGCAGCCATCTTGTTTTTTGAAAATGTTGTATTTTGGACATGCTTTGTCAGTTGTCATTTAAACTTGGTACATAGATTATACATGTTAGGATACATGTCCATGACGATTTATTTCGCAATTGGATCAAAGATGGTCGACTGGCAGGCATCTTGTTTTGGTTTTTTTATGCGGTATCTTGGACGTGCTCCGTCAGTTTTCATTCAAATTGTTTTTATCAGCAATTGTTACAAGTTCTGTTTTAATTGCAGGGTTTACGATCCAATGCTTTACCGTTGTTCGATAAATCTGACCCTGTCTTGTCATCAGAAGTACGTTTGCATCGTAGTAGTAGTTTAACAGAAAGGACACCGCTAAAGGGGTAAGAATGAACAATGGATCGTATTTATGCCATATCTATGCTGCATGTCTACATGAAGAATACTGTACTGTACAATCAAATGTTTTGGTTTGATTTTAAACTTTCTGTCAAACTTTGCGTAAATATTTTGTACTGCCTAAAGTTTGGCCAAATACATTATGAGTTGCATTGGATTTAAGGCATGTGTTGGTGTCTACTATTTTCAGGTCATACATATCCAGTCAACCTACCACACCCACTACAGCTACAGGCCCTGGTGGAAGAGGAAGAGGAATGACTCAAGATGTTATAAAAACAGAAACACCAGATGAATTATTGAATCATTTACATTTAGAGCTCACAGAGACGTGTATTGATCTCATGGCCAGATATGCATTCTCAACTTGTGCTGCTATGCCAAGAAGGTTTGTTCTCAAATTTGCATCGTGGTATACATTATACATCCCTTGTATCACAGTGTTATGTTACCTATGCAGTAGATGTTAATTATTTTGTTCTTCAAAAGCTTGAAAGGGTCTGGGAAGACATAAAAAGAAAAAGAAATATCGCTTTATGGTTTCACACAGTTTTATCTTGACTTGTCATGTGAGCTACAAACAAATGATATACAAGCATTTGTCGCCTGTGTTACTGATGCTTAGAAGAACCTTGATTTGACCAATTTAATAAAAAGCTCAATTGGCTTATTCTATCCTGGTGTACAAAATTAATCTGATTTTTGATTTCTGATCAATATCATTTCATGTGCAATGTTGTAATGGCAGATCACCTGTTGCTGAATTCCTTCTTGCTGGTGGACAGTCTCAGTCTTGGCTGCTTGGCAACAAATTGGTCACCATAACAACCACTGGAAGTGGATTAAACGGCAACAAGAGTGGGCTGTGTGATAAATGCACAACTCTGCTGCGTAGAAAGGAGACACCAATGCCATCACCACGAGAAGAGCAGTCATTACAAGTAGATCTGACTGAAGACCAGCTCAGTGCATCAGTCACGATAGCACAGACAGCAACTCAGCGATTAAGACAAAGGTGCAAATCAGGGAGCAGTAACCGAGTGGACAGCAGTGGAAATCTTATTCCCTTGAAACCATTACCTAGAGAAGATACCAAAGAAGTCAAATATTTATCATTAATCGCTTCAAGAAAATCTCAAGATAGTTTAAACAGTGTTGATAGTGAGAACGGCATAAGCTTTTCTGCTTCAAAGCAAGATGCTGGACTGTCTGGAAGACCTTCACATTTAGAGGTGAAATCACATGACTATACACCCTATTTGTGTAGTTGTTGGTGTCAGGGATGGGCTGAAGTACATATCAGGTGTCCAACTGGAAACACATCTTGGATGATGAAGATTCAGAATCAGCCAACATTAGCACCAACCATGAAAGACTTGCCAATTACTGATTTGTCAGAGATGTTATTGACCAATGTGGAGATGGAGACTGAGCTGATGGATGGATTGACCCCAAGGTCACCCAGGGGTGAGATACACTTTCAAATTTCTGTTCACTCAATTGCCTTGTTGGCAAATATTAGGAAAAACTGCAGTTTGGTTTATATTATAATAACAGTGTACGTCATTGCTGTACATTATCAGACGATTGAGTATATGTATTACTCCAATGATCTGAATCTGCATAACATTTTGACTTTAAATTTGGCAATGTATAATTATGCAACTTTTTTTCATGTGTGACATAAAAATGAAATCAATTATAAATAACCAACAATCTTAAACAAAGCACTTCACATAACATTCATTTAATATTAGATGTGTCTTACAAATATTTTATTTCACAGTGTCGAGCATGGATGTGTATAACTTTGAAATGTTTTACTGTTTGTCAGCTTTGCGTCCTTGGAAAATCTACTATCACCTTCAGATTGAATGTTTTAAATATACATAATCACTGCCAAGTCAAATGTTTTCAAAATATGTGATCACCACTAAATCTAATGTTTTAAACATAATGTTTAATAATTTCTTGCAGGAGGTAGCTTTGGCACATCTGAAAAAAAAGTTCCTCAACTCACAACGGAGGCTTCCTTAGAACTTTTAGATAAAACAGCGACTGTAAAAAAACTGTTCCCACTCCGGAGAAGCAATTCCTCTCCTGGTCTACTAGGTAAAACAGATGGAGGGGAGGAGCAACACTGTGCAGAACTGCCTGATGTCAAACCTAGTGAAGAAGATGATCAGTTTAAAAGGATGAAGATGAGACAATCAAAGTCTGCCATTGATCCAATGGAGTCTGTGAGAAAATACAGTGATCCAACAACAATGAAGGCAATAATGGACGCTAGAAAACGACGCAGCCCAATTAAAATTGGGAGCAAACCATCAAAAAGTGATGAAGTTCAAAGAAATACCAGTGTTGTCAAAAAAGACGATACTCCTATGAAAGCCAAAAGTGCGACTGAAATTGCACAGGCTAGATCCCGTCAAATTTCCAGTAAAATTAGGATGGGACAGTTAGAGAAACAGCCAAATTCCATTGATCTCCCTGTGGCCACAGTAGCAGAAGAGCAATGCCAAGAAGATTCACTACCCCCTCTGAGAAGAGCACGTGGATACACAGTGTCTGTTATGTCTCCTGCCAAACATCAATATCTTAAAAGAGAGTCTCCAATGGACATTCGAAAGAAGAGATCAACTACGATTAACGATGCAAATAATTTAAATCCAAGGTATGTGGTTATACAATGTATGTGTATGTTTCATTCTGTTTATATTTATTCAAGGTTTCTTTCATACATTCCAAATAAAATTCTATCATATTATATATCATATATAAGTGGAATGATCTTCTTGCTTAGCACTTAGATAAATGCAAGCTCACGAACTGCAATTATTCTATGTACAATTAATATACAAATACATTCAAGAAACATTGAATTGTTTTTTATGATGTTAATTATTGATCATAACAGGTGATACTTATCCAGTAAATGTTCCAATTGCACATGTCATGTAGAATTGTTTGTATGGTAGCATTGTAACACCCATTGAACAATGACATAATAATATAATTCAGCGAAAACTACGATTGACCCACTGGACAATGACATAATAATATAATTCAGTGAACAATACGATTGACCCACTGGACAATGACATAATAATATAATTCAGCGAACACTGCGATTGACCTACTGGACAATGACATAATAATATAATTCAGCGAACACTTTGATTGACCCACTGGACAATGACATAATAATATAATTCACGAACACTACGATTGACCCACTGGACAATGACATAATTATATAATTCAGCGAACACTACGATTGACCCTCTGGACAATGACATAATAATATAATTCAGCGAACACTACAATTGACCCACTGGACAATGACATAATAATATAATTCAGCGAACACTGCGATTGACCTACTGGACAATGACATAATAATATAATTCAGCGAACACTACGATTGACCCACTGGACAATGACATAATAATATAATTCAGTGAACAATACGATTGACCCACTGGACAATGACATAATAATATAATTCAGCGAACACTGCGATTGACCTACTGGACAATGACATAATAATATAATTCAGCGAACACTACGATTGACCCACTGGACAATGACATAATAATATAATTCACGAACACTACGATTGACCCACTGGACAATGACATAATTATATAATTCAGCGAACACTACGATTGACCCTCTGAACAATGACATAATAATATAATTCAGCGAACACTACAATTGACCCACTGGACAATGACATAATTATATAATTCAGCGAACACTGCGATTGACCTACTGGACAATGACATAATAATATAATTCAGCGTACACTGCGATTGATCCACTGGACAATGACATAATAATATAATTCAGCGAACACTACGATTGACCCTCTGGACAATGACATAATAATATAATTCAGCGAACACTACAATTGACCCACTGGACAATGACATAATAATATAATTCAGCAAACACTACGATTGATCTACTGAACAATGACATAATAATATAATTCAGCGTACACTGCGATTGACCCACTGGACAATGACATAATAATATAATTCAGCGAACACTACGATTGACCTACTGAACAATGACATAATAATATAATTCAGCGAACACTACGATTGACCTACTGGACAATGACATAATAATATAATTCAGTGAACACTACGATTGACCCACTGGACAATGACATAATAATATAATTCAGCGAACACTATGATTGACCCTCTGGACAATGACATAATAATATAATTCAGTGAACACTACGATTGACCCACTGGACAATGACATAATAATATAATTCAGCAAACACTGCGATTGACCCACTGGACAATGACATAATAATATAATTCAGTGAACACTGCGATTGACCCACTGGACAATGACATAATAATATAATTCAGTGAACACTACGATTGACCCACTGGACAATGACATAATAATATAATTCAGCAAACACTATGATTGACTCACATTACCCTCACATGACTTGAATATGTACTGATATATCGTATTCAATATACAACCCTGAATCTGTATATTTAACACAAAATGCAGCCCTAAATATGTATACTGTATTATATTGTGAATGTTCTAGTGTTCAGAGAGCCAAACGGTACATTTACAAGAAAGGATGAGACCTACACATGTATATTACCGGTACTAGGTATATTTGCTACATCTAGCTACTTCAAACTATTCTAAACTATTTTTTGTATATTTGACAGTTTTGTGTTTCTACAGCTGTACCATTCTTCATTCTTCGGTACCGGCTCTGACAAACCGCTTCTTCTGCCACAGACTCAGGTTTGTGCCAATCTATTTAACACTACTTTTTACAAAAACCACATTACTGCGATCAGGGTTTGTATGTAACCAAGAAAAATTATGTTCATTTGGTCTTTGAGGTATTGCGGTTCCTGTCTTCAAATAAGCTCCTGGAGGGAACAATGTTCATCTCTAACATTTTTAATGTCCTATTTTTTCCCACTAAACTGTTAATGCAAACCTTTCACATTTTTTTATTGTTTTGATAAAGTTGGATCAAGTCAACATAATTTTTGATTGGTTAAATGTCTTAATCAAAATTTTGGAGAAAAAAATGATGTGTGAATGATTCATGTGTTTGGCAAGTGGTCCCCTTAGGAACATCTACTTTGTGATGACATTTACAAAAATGTATTAGCTTTGTAGTTGGCATTATTTGACTCGCTCGATAACTGTAAACTGAGAAAATCTGTCACTTGTTTATAAATAAAAGCACTACAGTCACCACACAGCACGCATTCAAATTACATTTTTTTTACACACATTGTATGGGTCGCTTATAGATGATTGTTGCGTAGTGTAATTGCAGTCAAATGGTAAAACACACAATACATTTGGTATTTAGTGAAGAACATACAAAACAACCAGGATACCTGCTTTAATTTGTGGCTGAGATAAAATTATACAAGTTTACTTCTCAACACAAAATAAATGATGCTGTTAGTTTAACCTAAATTGTATTTTCTGAACAGGTGATAGAAAGAGCTGTGAAAGTAATAGATCGTATACCTCCATATGAGACTCACAAGATAGGTGTGGTCTATGTTGGTCCCGGACAGGTAGGAAGTCATAACTCTTGTCAAATAAAGGATATGCAATTATGTAATTGGTCACTAAGTTGGTTAGTAATTGGTCACTAAATCCTTTGTTTGAAAGGGATTAATAAAAAAAAAATTTGAAACTTATGATAAGTTTCCCAAAGGATGAAAATGAATTTAATTTAATTACTGTGTTTAGTGATGGATTGTTGAAACATTTGAAGACCTACATTATGTTTTAATTGTGGCATGGATGTCACAATTTTATATATATGGGTTTTCTCTTAAAGGTTAACAATCAAGCTGCTATTTTATCAAACATATATGGTTCATCTCGATATGTTGAATTCCTGCGTGGACTGGGAAAACTGATAAACTTAAAAGATTCCGAGGCAAATGAGATTTATACTGGTGGTTTAGATTGTACTGGTTATGATGGCAAATTTGCCTACAGCTGGCAGGATGATGTCATGCAAGGTGAGTTAGCTGGATGGATGATGTCATGCAAGGTGAGTTAGCTGGCAGGATGATGTCATGCAAGGTGAGTTAGCTGGATGGATGTCATGCAAGGTGAGTAAGCTGGTAGGATGATGTCATGCAAGGTGAGATAGCTAGTAGGATGATGTCATGCAAGGTGAGTTAGCTGGCAGGATGATGTCATGCAAGGTGAGTAAGCTGGTAGGATGATGTCATGCAAGGTGAGTTAGCTTGTAGGATGATGTCATGCAAGGTAAGTTAGCTGGCATGATGATGTCATGCAAGGTGAGTTAGCTGGTAGGATGATGTCATGTAAGGTGAGTTAGCTGGATGGATGATGTCATGCATGGTGAGTTAGCTGGAAGGATGATGTCATGCAAGGTGAGTTAGCTGGCATGATGATGTCATGCAAGGTGAGTTAGCTGGTAGGATGATGTCATGCAAGGTGAGTTAGCTCGTAGGATGATGTCATGTAAGGTGAGTTAGCTGGATGGATGATGTCATGCATTGTGAGTTAGCTTGTAGGATGATGTCATGTAAGGTGAGTTAGCTGGAAGGATGATGTCATGCAAGGTGAGTTAGCTTGTAGGATGATGTCATGCAAGGTGAGTTAGCTGGAAGGATGATGTCATGCAAGGTGAGTTAGCTTGTAGGATGATGTCATGCATGGTGAGTTAGCTGGAAGGATGGTGAGTCGGACCGTAGATAATTAATTAGGTTATTGTTACATGTCATACTGGTTTTGATCATATTAATTCACTACGTTCAATTACCCACCATAGACTCCAATCAGTCAAAATGACTATTTTGAACTGTAGGCATTAATCAGCGATTCTGCCGGTGACGGAGAGATAGAATCTAGGTCAGGGGAAACCCCAAGATTCTCTTTCCCTTACGTCACGAACCACGTGACTGAGGCCATATGGCAGTGCCATAGACGGCTGTACAAATCACTCTTCTTTTTTCTCCGCATCTGCGGGGATGAAGTTTTAGTGGCTCTGCTGGATCGCCTGCCTTTTTTCCTGTTCGGATTTCTAGCTTGGGTTGTTGCTGCTGCACGGCATCCGACATTGTAGCTGGTAGGATAAGTTTTCCATGTCATTTTACCGTCGTGTCGTTTTTCCCCTTTGTGTGTAGTATTTTTCACAACAAAGAAATTAAAACCCGGCGGCACCTTTTACAACTGTATTTCATTTTTTCCCTCATACATGTCGTCTTTTATTTGCAATGTATTTAGCAATGTATGGATGTAATGACAGCACCAGGGCTGGCTGCTGTTTTTCTTTTGGTCTCCTCGCGTTTCGAGTCGACTGAGCAGTGGTTATATTCAGAATTTACCAGCATAGAACCCGCATCCGAGATACTCTGTCATAGCTGGGTTCGGGGTTTTTGCGTCAAGGTGTGTGTTTTTCACTGGAGTTCTGAGGCCAGAGATTTTCTTTCAGAGCCATCAAAATCGCTGAGACTGACCGCGTCACAGCAAGGTCGCGCGCGTGTCCAGTAAACAAATCGGTTAAAGTGAGTTGCGTGTTTGGCATGAGTGGAAAGTCCTCACACTCGGCTACCGGTTGTACTAGGACATCGAGTAGGAGGCCCGTTGGTGGAGGTGCCGATATTTTTCTCGGTCTCCCCGCTGATCGGAGGGCATCCTCACAGTCTGTTTTTTCAGGCGGTGGTTTACCCGATTTTACCGGCTGTAGCGAGGCTGTGCCCCTGGAGGCTTTCCTCATGTGGAGCCTGCTGCAGGTCCCTTTGTGGGCCCTTCCTCGCACGGCGCCGGATTTGCCTCCGAGTTGAGGGCTTTGGTCGAGGGACTGTCGGGGCAATTGCGTCCCTGGTAGGCTGGGTAGATCAGACGCAGTCTCCACTGCGGCCCCTCGGTGGGCAAGCAGGAAGAAACAGGAAAGCATGTGTGCATTCCAACGCGTCTCTTCCGGGGAACCTCCGTTCCCAGCCGCGGCTCTCCCACTATTTTTGGGGGAGGCCGAGGCTCAGGCTCATTGCACTGGGCCTCCTCTGGAGCCTCGGGCACTGAATGCCAACAGGGTGCTGGCCGCCAAGCCTCCGATTTCGGGGCAGGGCTTTCAGGGCAAGGCACACATTGACCCCCCCTACTTTCAGCCAGCTAGGGTTCGTCACGCGGTAACGGTACAAGGGTAACGAATTTATCCTTGTGTCCGGTCTCCGCTGTGGGTTTTGACTCCCTTCTTACCGACCCACGGGCGTCCCCAGAGGGAACCGTCCCTGTCATGAGACGCACAGTCGAACACGCTCCCTCTCACATATTTAAAGTGGAAGGAGACGCAGTTCGCTCGCATCGGATACAGCCGGTACTCCGGGCGGTCCCTCAGAGTCTTCCATTCGTATGACTCGGTGAGCCAAGCTTTTTGGGGTGATGCGAAGTATCATCGATCCCAGTGATACGATGTAAATACCCCCACCCTTGATCCTAAGGCGACCACCTAAGGTTGCTTCAACATTTATGGGATCACGGGCGTCGGGATCCAAAGCAACCCCGTCGGCACATTCTCTCTCTGTTCGTCTGAGTGCGGAGGGGGGCGCAGAGAACGCAAACTGTGTTGATGGGCGGCATTGGTCAGCCGCGGAGGATGTAATGCTTAAGGCCCCCGGGTGGGGAAAACATTAGGCAACACTTCTCGCTGGACCAAACGCTACCCGGTCGGTGTGGTTTTGGGATCAGACCCCATAGCGTGGGATGAGACCAAAACGCCCCCAACCGGATCCCAAGGCTCCTTCCCCAGTACCACGAATTTGGCAAACCGGGCAAAGGGGGACAGCCGCATTCCATGGGCATTCTTGCCAATCGAAGACGACCCATCCAGCCCTGAGGGCAGAGGTGCTTAAGCGCATTACTGTGCGCGCCCAGGACTCTGGAGATCGTGGAGGCAGAACGCACCAGGCGACATTTTTACTGGTGGGCCACCGCACAGCTACGTGCGACACCCCCTAGTGTCACCTGGCTCTCTTGGCCGGGGCCACTCCTGTGCTACGAGACGCGGCCTTAGACGCACGTGTTTTCGCTGACAAGTTGAGTCGGGGTACGTCCCCACCTCAGTGACGCAGACTGGACATCCTCCATCCTCTTTGTTCAGGGAATGGTGGGTACAGTCTCGTAGCTTCGGAGTGCAATGAACCAGAGGGTTCAGATCGAATTCGCTAGCCAGTTGGCCCTGCCAAGAGCAAGCGGAGGGCACCCCAAGCACAGAAAACACAACGCCCTAGGGCGTCGTCCGATATCCAGAGTGAGCCAGGAGGCAAGCGCTCATGTGGCATGTGTTCGGCGAGTGGTCAGGTCACAACTTAGTGACTACTTCAGGCCTTGGGGAACTCACCCCCGCAACTGCCAAACACATGGCCACATATCCCTGTCGTACACAGATTGCGCCGGTGTAGTCCGGTTTGGAGACAGCGGATGACCGATCCCTTGACCTTTTCAGGTGGTGACATCCTGAAATCTCCATTTCCCCCCGTCAGTGTCTCCCCTGTTGGGCACTGCCAGGGGACTCAATCAGACAGGAAGTAGCAGTTTGCTGGGAAAAGGCGCCATACACAAGATACATCAGCCGGAACTAAGTCCAGGCTTCTACCCAAATGTGTTCGTAATACCAAATCTACAAGTGGGGGGCATCCAGTTCTGGACCTAGGCAGACTGAATCAGTATGTGCTCCTCGATCGGTTCCACATGTAAATACCGATGCACCCACCGAGTTGCCATCTCTTTCGAAGTGCCCAACTGGGCCAAGTATCCCCCCCCTCCCGTTCGGGTTAGGCACAGCGCCCTACGTGTTAACCCGAGTGATGGAACAGGTAGTGCTGCTGCTTCGCCAGATGTCGGTACACCTCAATCCGTACAGGATTTACTTCACCAGTTGGGATCGTTAGTAAATCGTCAAGTCCCACCTCGACCCAACGTGCAGTTGGTGTCCCTGGGCATGGAGTTTGGACACAGAGGTAAGCTTGGCTTAGCTATTTCAAGCGTGTTGCTTAGCGCTAAGCAGCCTAGCTGAATGCCTAGTCAGCGTTTCCTCAGTGTCCCTCCGAGAACTAATGCGGATCATCGGAATGATGACCTCAGTTCAAAGGGTCGTTCCCCAGGCCGTACTACGCAGCCGCCCGGTATAATGCTTGTTATAACGCCGAGCTCTCCTATGGGAACTAGATAGGCGGGTTTCGATCTCGAACCAAGGGAAGGAAGCCCTGCCCTGGTGGTTGTTACTGGCCAACCTCGGATATGGGGGCCCCTTAGACCCTCTCGCCGCAGGTATGACTCTGGTAACAGATGCCTCCCCCCCCCCAGGGTTGGGGAGCGCATCTATTGAACCAACAAGCCCAAGGATATGGCCCCCGCACTAGTTTCGGGACTACCATATCAACCGGCTCGAACTGAGAGCAGTGTACTTAGCACTACCACGCTTTCTACCCATTGTTCGAGACCACAGAGTCCTGCTCCGCACAGGCAACAAAGCGGTGATCTCCTTCAAGAAGGAGGGGGGACGCATTCCCCATCGTTGTCAGTCCTAGCGGAGCAAATCCTCCTTTGGTGTCTGGAATACAATGTGGAGCTAACCGCACACCACCTTCCAAGCGTGAGAAACAGGATGACTCCGTCTCCAGAATACGGAGTGGCTGATACCCCAGTGGGTAGCCTCCAGGCTGTTTCGACTGTGGGACGGTTCAAGGTTGACCGGTTTGCCGCACCCCAGAACGCCAAGCTCCCGACATACGTAACACTCCTGCTGACTCCAGGAGCATGGGCCAGGGTCGCTTTGCTTACCCCGTGGATCCACTTAGTTGTGTATGCCTTTCCTCCCTTTCCGCTAGTTAACCGGGCACCGGAGAAAACTTTGACAGGTGCACACCTGCATATTATCATTGGTCGCACCCAATTGGCCAAGCAAGGCCTAGTTTCCACTTCTGTTGGAAATGCTAGTCGAAACACCAGCAGTGCTTCCGGACTTACCGGACCTGCCGTCCCAACCAGACAGCGCACTACCAACGAGCCCAGCAGGTATCACTTACACGCATAGAGGCTCTCAGTAGACCCGCACATACGAAAGCCTTATCTGAGCAGGCTGCCAACGTCCTGACCAGGGCGAACAGGGATTCCACCAATGCGGCCTACATTTCTAGGCTGCGAGCATACACTGATTGGTGGAGCAGAAGGGAGATTGATCCATACCATCCCTCAATTGGCCAGGTAGCAGGCTCCTTCGTCCTGTTTGACGAAGTGGGTTTGTCCTACGCAGCGATCATTGGCTACAGGTCGGTCTTGTCCCCCACCACTCAAAACGTACGGGAACAAGACTAGCCGATTGTCCTATTATTAGGAGACTATTTACTGCTTTCCAGACGCCTAGACGGAACCGCCCAACTGGGACTTGTCGGCTGTGTTGTCTGCTCTAAGCAGACCGCCCTTTGAGCCTCTCCGATCAGCACCACTCAAATTTTTGACGTGGAAAATAGTCTTCCTACTGGCCCTAGCCTCAGGTAGACGTCGGCCAGAGCTGGGGGCATTGTCCTTCTCGGATGATGTACCGCCGTTATGGACAATCAAGTTGTGCTAAAGACACGAATCGGGTTTCTCGCCTAGAACTAAATCCCAGAACACGATCCTCACCCGATCGTCATCCCCCGGCTGTCAAATTGTGTCTGCTTCTCTACCCGGTTCGAGCACAGAGTTTGCCACCAAACCGTACTAAGGAGTTGGAACGGGGTGCCAGGCACATATCTTTGTGTTATGGCCCAGGCAGGCAGGATAGGCCGGCCTCCCCAACTTCCATAACCAGGTGGTTTACTGCGTCTGTATCAGAGGTCTATAATACTTCCTCGACACAGAACTTGCAGAGAAACCAAGTATGAGCGCATGAGGTCTGTGCGATTGCTAGCTCGCTAGTGCTAGCGTCAGGCGCCCCCCCTCGAGCACTTATGGAGGGCAGGCTTCTGGAGAACGCAGAACGTCTTTATCAACTACCACCTAAGAGACACTGAACCCATTGAAAAGGGTCTCTCTAGGTTGGGTCCCGTCGTAGTGGCTCAGTCTTGGTTTGCTGACCCAGCCCGAACGACCGCTGGGGTCAGTGCGCATAGGCAATAACTCAGTCCGGCATTTTATGCGGACAGATTTCTCTACCATCAGCACTCCCTCGAAGCTCCTAGGTTCCACTTTGCGGCCTATGCCCTCATGCAGAACTGTTTCGGTCTTTACTTCGAAAGCTTACTACCCCCCAGAATTGGGTTGGGGTCTGGCTTTTTCGGGCACACCGAACCCTGTCACCGTAGCAGCATTTTGGCTTCTTGCTCCGGGGACAGCACAGGCAAGGTAAGACACCACCCTTTTTTGAGTCTTAACTAGGATATTGAGTGATTTTTGTAGAGTGTTTCATCCCGGACTGGGAAAAGACTTTTCATCACTTTTCTGTTTGCTCGGAAAACCCGCCACCTATCAGCGTCTGACTCTGCCTACAGTTCAAAATAGTCATTTTGACTGACCGGAGTCCATGGTGGGTAATTGAAT